CCAATGGCATTACTGGTATGGTGAGCTACTATACCTTTTCTTTTGGTTTTGTCGTATTCTGTATCTGCAGATACAAAATCATCTGCTGTGCACTGTATGTGTCCTGATGACTGCAGTGCTGGCTGGGATCTCGAGTGGGGACCTGCAGGCCAGGGAGAACAGGCACATAATAAACATCCTGGACAATACAGATGTGGGAAGTGTACCTAGCAGTTCCAGAATAAGAATAAAGTCACATTTCATTCTGCTCCTACACATAGCAGTGTGCAGGGACAGTGGCTCTCTTTTTGTGACAAATGTATCATCTGCAGAAATGAGCTGCAGGGGAGGGGGAGAGCAGGCTGGGCAGGAGACAGGAGCATTGCCAGAGTTGCAGTTCTGGATCCTGTCAGCTGGGATGCCTTCACCTGGGATGCAAGAGTGCATCCCTGCCCTTCCACCAACATTGGTACCCTTACAGCAGCTGGGTCCAAAGAGACACCTCCCCAAACTTCAGGAATTTAAGCAAGACTAAGCACCAACTTGAGCAGTAAATTTCCAAAGTTCATCAGAAGCCCATCAGTTCACACAACTTTTAATATAAACATCCCTCTGTAGAATTGCATCAAGCAATGATATAATTTTCTCTCATTTGTGACTTCTAAAAAATCATGTAAGTATGAAAAAGCTATTTTAAGTCCTGGCAAATTAAGAACACAATCAACCACAAAAAGTCAGTTGGGACACAAAATGTTTTTTGCTGATGAAAATATTTCAGCTAGATTCTGACTCCCTCAAACATTTTGAATGTTTTAGATACAATTAAAGGAAATTCTGAAGTAAAATAATGGTGAACCAAAGGTACTGAAAAGAAATCAAAGTGACAATTTAGTTTTTAACAAAATTCTTATTAAACATTTCTGTATTACACAAGTGGTCTGCAGAATTTCCATGGTTTGTGAACTGATTCATGGTTGGTACAGCAGCTCTCTCCATTTGAATGGAGCTTTTTTCTTAATTTTCATTCATTCAGTTACTGAGAGTTGAAACTACACAGAATGAAACAGGAAAGTCTGGGAACGTGATTATTGAAAGATTGAAAAAATAGTTTTGGATTTCTTTTTTTCTTCTACTTTCTTCCGCAGGAAAAGGCTTTTGTGAGAGCAACTCTCAGCTGTTCTGGTTCAGGGGAGTTTGGTGAATAATTTTGGTTTCACTTTGCTGAGCATTAGGACTCCTGTCTTATTATTCTATTTTGAAATTAACTGAACTAGTCAAAGTGATTCTCATAACACTGAATCTGGGACTGAAATTATGTGACTTGCAATAATGTCAACCTTTTCTAAACTGAAGGTGTCTTTCACAACCATAATGGGAACAGGCAGTATCCCAAAAGGATGGATTAATGGATCCATGTGGGGATCATTCTGATTTCTCAGATAACAATGGAAATCAGAGGCAGGAAAAACATTGGAGAAGTTAAAATGACTGTAAGAAAAAGCAAGACTAATTTTTAAATTTTCAGATGTACAAATATGCACATTAAGAATTGTCTTCAGTTAGGAGTATTATGCTGTCAGTAGTCATCTTACTTTAAATGTAGCAAGACTGATTACAGAAGAAGGTAGAAGCTGAAATTTTAGAGTTATTTTTTTATATCTTATGCAAATTTACTTTTGAGCACTTACTGTTGGGTATCTATTTGCTTTGTTAAAAGCAAACAGAGAAATAATTGAATACGTAATAATGATTCAGAAGTTGAATAAAAATAAAATCCAAATTTGCTAAAGCTAAACAGGAGGGGGAAAAAAGCATATTAATTGTGCACACAATGTCAAGATGGAAAAAGCCATTCTAAAATATTACATTGCCCTTATAAAGACTCTCTGAACAGGCACACTTCACTCTCCATCTGGAGGGAAAAAACTCTGAACAGGGAAATTACAACTAAAAGTGTACCATTTTAAATATACCAGGTGTATGCTTTTGCACAAAGTGTGCAAAAATTTCTATCTGCTGGGCCTGATGCCATTATTTATTGACTAGGAGTGAGTCCTTTCACTGAATCAGAATCACCATGGATTTTATGTGATTTCATCACCTTCATCAAATAAATTGAACAGAAATCATCACTCTAGAAGAAGGTTAACATCATTTAAGGGGCATGTTAGCAAAAAGTAGAAGAAATCATCCCAACCACACTATTCTGATTTTTTTGTATTTTCCCAGATTAATATTATTAGCACATATTAATGAAGTGATTTTTTAAACAGTTTTAGATCATATTACTTTTTTCAGAAATTGTTGAATTTGACCTTGGCTTGATTAGTTTTCTTCAGTTTCTGTGGTTTGGTTTTTTTTTTGGGGGGGGGGGTTTGTTTTAGTTGTGGTGTTTTGTTGTTTTTTTTGTTTTTGCTTTGGTTTTGGTTGGTTGGTTGGCTTTTTGAAAGTGAACATTTTGTGGTGAAAAGAATAAATCTGATCTTAATTTTCTGCTGTCTCACTCTGCTTGATTCCCTACTGTATTCTGTGTAACTGGAGATTTATGCCACTGAGCAGTTTGCATTTATAGAAGTGGTAGGTAGGTTTTGAGCATACAGCCGTGAAAAATGAGCCCAGGAAAGTGTGGTTATTATATGCATACACTGAGAAAACTATTTGAAAATGTTTTAGAAAATCTGATATACCAAGAACAACTAATGCTTTCTCCCAGATGCCTCACATTACTGTATCTGAAAAGCAGATACATCTGAAAAGAATGTAGAAAAATTACTTAAGTCAGTGACCAGGGGTACTGTGGCTCTCATGCACCTGGGTACAGGTGTAGATAAGTCAGAATGCCACTTGGTAAGAGTCAAGGACAAAAAATTTTGGCAATGTTCTAGTACGTTATCATGGCATAGTGACTCTGGAAGGTGTCAAAGTTGCTGCTTGTAATATTTTCACAAATACCCCTCATTGCTTTTGTCCTTGCTGTTGCTTACATATGTGTCAGATGGATGGTTAAAGCACATCTTCAAATTTCATACTAAAAACATATTCCTCATTTTTCATTATTCTGTTATTGGGCTTGGAGAGTTTTTGTGAATGCTATTCTTGTCTGAAAATTTCATTCTCAGTAGAAAGCACAGCAATTTACCAAGGATCAAAGATCCTAGCCCTTAGATAAACAAGCATCCTTCTGATAAAGAAGAGGCATTGTGAAGCCCACATCTGTCTCTCTCTACTCACATCAAAAATAACAAATGGGAGTACTGGGTCAGAAATAAAGGTTTTACAGAAATAGTACTTCAACAAGCTCTAGCCATGACAACATACATATAGGGAGAAGAGAAAGATAAGGGTTTCCTCAAGCATTATTTGGCTCTTAGAAGTGTGGAAAAAGAGATAAAAAACATTTTACCAGTGTCAGGGAGGGAGAGGCACAAAGCACACAATTCTGGGTATTCAGTGCTTGTAGGGAGGAACAGATGAAACCCCTTCCTGCCAGCCTGGGAGAGCAGGGATGTGTTTCTGCCATTTTATCTGAAAGGAGAGTATTTATGCTTGGTATAAATATTGGGAGGTAGAGCTGGGATGGTTTATCTGGACACCAAGGTGACAATCACAGGATGAAGAAAAACAGCCAAACTGGAAGTAAAATGAATGCCTGTCATGCAGAGGGGTTGTAAAAGAAGAGCCAGGTTATTGGGAGGTAAGAACATGTTAGCAGAGGAAACCAGGAAGGTATTGGAGATGGGAAGAGAGAAGAGCAGTCCTGGGATGTAGATCTTGAAAGTGAGAATCTGAATTTTATGACTTTTTAGAAAGACAGAGTGAATAGGTGAAATAATGGAAATGGGAATTTGGAAACTCTGTCAATCACATTCTGTTTCAAAGACTGGTTAAATAGGCCTTTACTTATACCAAATAGCAGTAGATGGCTGCAGCCAACATTCAGATAAACCCCAAAGCATTTTTTATCCATAGAAGTGTACAGTAAAGTCTATTAAATATGGCCTTCGTTTCAAATTGAGCAGATGAATTTAACAGACTGCAGCCTTTTGTCGAAGGACAAAGACAGGGAGATGTGTAAAGCTGAATATGAAATACTCAGGAGTCTACTTCTGGCTGGTACTTAAGGCTCTGTTTTACAGTCATGGACTTTGGAGGAAATGCTGTACATAAAAAAGAAAAAAAGAGCAGAAGGTGCTTTTCCCATATAGTCTATTACTTCCTGCAATTCATGAGAACTCTTTCCTTGTGCATAAAGGTCACCTTTCATTTATGTACATATCTGTTTGGTTTGCTGAAAAGGGTATCCTGAAAACATTAAAAATATGAAAGGAAATGTAAAGTTAGGGGTAAAAGGGTGTGTCGCTTGGCAGGACATCTATAAATAATGACTATTAAAGAGAGTTGGCCATTGAAACTGCTCCATGCAGAAATATCCCCTGATGGCACTACAGATCATAGATTCCTGCTACCATACAAAGACTTTAAAATCAGGTCTACCTTCTTCTGTAAACAGGCCAACACTGCTGACTGCTGTTTGAATGTCCAAAAAAAAAAAAAAAAAGAAAAATAAAGTGAGGGTATGAAGAGAGATTTGAAATTTTGCAGAAATATTGTAACAGACAGACAGCCAAAAGGAGAACCAACAGCCTAGGAAAAAAAGGGAGCAAAGAGAATAATTTAAAATACTGGATGTTACAGTGTATTTGTTCCTGTCCCCATGTCTTTTCTGTGTATAACTGCTTCCATCTGAGGCAGACCCAAGATCCCAAATGACCCCAGCAGGACCCAGCACATGACTGGGTGGGATGATGGTGGTGTCCCTGTAACCTAAGCGTATGAGATGCAAGCGAACAGGGAGCAAGGGCATGAGATGGGATCAAAATATTCTTACCTGATGCTCAGCACAGGGGATGTGAAGGGTCTGTGTGGAATGCACAGCGGAGAGAAGCTTGCACTGGCCAGCAGTGGGTACCCCAGCTCGAGCAGCAGCAGCCAGCTGCAGAACCCCTGCCTGCCCTTGAGGGGCCATGGACAGCACTGGTTTTCGTTTGACTGGAAATGAATGATGGTGTTTTCACGTTGATGGTGCCTCTTTAGCAAATTTCCACAGCAACCCCCCTTGCTCTGTCAGGGAAATATGTGATAGAAAGCAGTGGGAAGCAGAATTTATAAGCCCTTCTACAGATAGGAGCAAAGAATTATATTTGCAACCATTCCTTGTAAATACTAAAAAAACTTGAACAAAATATGGCTTAAAACTAAACCTTCATCAGGTCATTTCCATCAGTGCTGCTAAATGCTCCAATGACTTGTGAACAAAATTATATATCAAGCTGATGAGCATTGAGATGCTGCCACTGGAGATGCAGGTCCTGGTCCTGGCTGTCTTCTCATGCACAGTGCACCCATAGGTGTGGGGGTTCTCTCCTTGACTTGAGGTGTACACAAAACTAAGGCATCCTTCAAGTCCTGTCCAGCTTGCAATCACTGTCCAGAAGACCTTGAACACTCAGAAATATTTCACACAGTAATGAACATCTTGGTGACCATTAGGAACTAAAGCAGGGTTGGGATGATGCCAGTGTGGGACCTGGCAGAGCAGGAGGAACTCTGAAGGAGAGAAGATGCTGCAGAAGCGTGCAGAGCAGGACTCCTGGGGATGGAGGGAAGCACAAAGCATGAGTGGGTGGTGGATGAGCAGCTCTCCAGCACCTGCAACAGCAAAGCCACTCAGGAGGTTGTGGCAGTGTGGATGTGCAAAGGTGAGACTGCTCAAGCAAAACAAGTTAGGAAAATAGTCTAAACCAGCAAGACCTGTAAAATCAAAATTAATATCAAGGCTATATATTTTAGAAAGCCCTGTGAGCATGAGATTTCTTCAGTTGCAGCGGCAAGGAGTGGATGTGGGAAAGCATTCAGCTATTCCTATAGCCAAAGGTGCTAAGAGCAGGCAGCTGAAAGGGATCTGCACAGCAGAAGGATATCGGGGTGTGTCAGCAACGGCAGCAGAAGGACAATGCAGAGCTGCAACTCCCTTCCGCCCCTGCCGCTCTGCCAGACATCCGGATTCCAGGCACAAAAGGGCAAAGCCATTTTTTCCCCTTGAATAGCTTTTTGGGACTCTGGGAGGCTGCCCTGGGGACTGCCAAAACCCTGCTGCTGCCCAAACAAGCTGCTAGCTCCAAGTTCAATTAATTGTGCCCTTGGTGGTAACTGTAGCAGAACTGGAACCAGACGTGGTAGTAAAATATCTTGAGCCTGTTTCCATTTTCCCCCTGTCTCTTATTTTCCCAGAACAGCTGATTTGTCACTTGCAGGTAAAGAGCCATGGCTCTGCTGTCAGGGGGATGTATTTCTAGTGTAATGATGTATGACAGACATGTAATGATGCATGATGTGCATCCTAGCTGCATTTTTTACTCCTCTTGCTTTTTCTTAATACATTTTCCACTAAAGGTCTGTTTCAAAAAAAAACCCAAACAAACAAACAAACAAACAACCCAAAAAAACAAAACAAAAAAACCACCACCAAAAAACCACCCCAAAACAAAACAAACAAACCCCCCCAAAACAAAAACAAAACAACAAAAAAACCAAAACAGAAAACCAACCAACCAACAAAACCCAACAAAAACCAACTTTTATTTTCACCCTCCAGTGGAATTTAAACAAACAAACAAAAAAATTCCTGTCATTCAGAGTTTCCTGTTCAGGATTCCCCAAACAAGCAAATATGCAGCACTTCTCTATGGCATACATATATGCTTGAATTTCCAACTTCCTGGAGACTGGTGCATGATATGCAAAAATATTTGCCTGGAAACCATATTATTATTATTAGTAGTAGTAGTAGTAGTAGTAGTAGTAGTATTAATAGTATTTATAATATTAATACTTATATATCATTAAATATTAATATATTGTAGTAGTAATTATTACTGCTCAAAATCTTGTAGAGAACATTAGGTCCTGACCTGGTAGCAGTGGAATAAAACCACAAAGCAGTACCATGCAATTTTTTTTCTTTAGTTGATGAAGCATTTGGATAATAAGAACTGTGTATGCCTTTCTATTTGCTGCATTTCAAATAATCATTCAGCACTGCTTTGATTTTTCAGTTCATTTGAATAACTTTTATGAGTTGATGTTGTGATGTGAATTTTTATTGCTGTTATCTCATGTCATTGTGTCTTCAGGGTGTGGAATTCCATAGGGAAAACATCTTTTGAAAGTGGGTTTTGGCTGGTTAGTTGACAGGTACTTGGTACTTAGACAGGTACTTGGAGTGCTGTAGCCCAGGGTTTCTCCTGGGCGTTCTGTAAAATCTGCACACCCAGTCCATGATCAGCCCAGCGTCTCCTTGGCTGCACAGCCCTGGCTGGAGGAAGCTGCAGCATCCCCAGGGGGTGAGTGCATGCCTGCAGACACCTTGGCAAAGGGGGCACTTGCAGAGATGCCAAGGAGCCCATTTAGGCCCCTGCTGTGAGAAAAGACAGCTCTCACACGGTTGTCCAACATGCTAAAAACAAACTCACGTTTTTGACTAACCATGACTTCAGTTACTAGCAACAGAGAACTCTAGGATAAATGGAGGAAGTATAGGAGAAACGCTAGAGAATAATAAATTTTAAAACCTTTTTAAAAACTCCCGTGAGCTGGGACTAGATGGCAAGTCCCAAATTCCTCTTCAGGCAAAGCCAATAACTAAGTGCCAGATTAATTCTGCTAGCTCTGTAAGCTACCAGCTATAGCTGGGTAAAAACTGCCAGCACACCAGGAGCACCTTCAGCATCCAAGCTCCAAGTGGAGATACCAGGCCCATGGGAACTAAAAACAATAAAACAGGGTGGGTTATTAAACAAGATTTAGAATTACATTGAGTTCAATCAGACACTCAATCAGAGCTGCAGTGAGAAGGCAGTGGTCAAGACAGCTGTGTGCCCTCTGAAAGGACTTCTTTTTGTCCCCACCATATTCAAAGACTGAAACTGATTCAATTTCAATCGAATCAACTGAAATTGGCTTGAAGACCAGTAAGACCAACAAATCCAATAGAGGTAAAGAGAAAAACAAGTCTCCCTAACTCATAATCAGGACAGTCCCTGCAATTGTCCATTTATGGGTATCTTGTTAGTAGACTGCCATCCTACAAAGCTCTGAGGTCCCTGATTCTGATTTTAGGCTAGGACTAATTCAGGACTATTTGCTGAAAATTGCAGGTCTAAACATTCTGATAATTTTGACTTGTGGTACAAAAAAACTCAAAAACCACAGATTTATTTTGTTTTCTCCAATGAAAAATTAACTTCAGATAATAATCCTATTATTAGGGTGGGGGGGTGGTGGGTTTTTTGGTTGTTTTTTTTTTTTGTTTTTTTTTTTTTTTTTTTTTTTTTTTTTGGTTTTTTTTTTGGTGCTTGGGGTTTTTTTTCCCTAAAACCTAGTTGCCTCTGATGGGAGATTCTGTTCCTCCAGAATTTGTTCTCAATCAAAATGTCCCACATTCCATAACCATGAACAGAACAGCAAAGCTGAGCACTGCAATTTCCAACCTCTTGGTCTCATTTACCCACAGACATGAGGGAAGCCTGGAAAAAAAGAGATCTCAAGTTTGGCTGCTCCCCTGAAGCACTTCAACTTGAATTTCCTATCTTCACACGTGGCCAATTCCCAAATGATCAAAGGGGTCACACAAAGGAAACTGAGTACTAAAATAAGTTTTCCGTCTAACATAGCTCTGCACCTTGTGAAAACACATTCCACAGACAGACTAGTCACAGCAGAGGGAACAATGTCTTGGTAAATGTTTTAAAAGCACATCAACTTCCAAGGTTCCCTGCGGGAAAACTGTGCCTAAACCTTTAATATTATTCCATGTATTGACATAATTCACTGCTGATTTTTGTCTGCAAAATTTTTCCGAAAATTTCATGGTATTGAACATCTGTAAATTATTTTTAAATATAAGATGTGCCTGGGTTGACCCTAGCTGAGAGGTTCCTCAGCAGTGGACTAGACACACAGAGCCAAGAGCAGCTGGGACAGGGCAGCAAGTGGGCAGGTAACCTCAAAGGTTCACACCAGGGAATTCCAAAGAAAGATGGAAGCATCTCCTCAGGGAGATGAAATCTAACTCCTTTCCAAGTGCAACTGTTGGTGAGCAAAGAAATAAATAATGCATCCAGCAGAAGATGCTCATCTTCTGAGCTACCCTAGTCAGCTGTGGCCACATGTGCTCAGTGTCCTGGGAACTGCTGAGAGCTGTGGAGCCCTGCAGACTGCAGGAAAGAGCAGAGATGAGCTAAAAGGCAGGTCCCCAAGGAGAAATCCACACACCCTTGTAGTCCAGCCCCTGTACTCTGTCACCATTAGCACCTCTGCCAATGTTCTCTATCTGCATCTTTATCTCCACTCAACTTTCTTACTGAAATTCCCTTTCTAAATCCAAAAAATCTGTGCCCCTTGGTACTCATATGAATACCCCTCTTCAGAGGCATGGAAATGTTCTGCTGCCACTATGACATTGCAGCAAACTGCCTCTCTCTTCAATCCAGGATCCCCTTCAAAAAGGATTTCTTGTTCACTCCTCTCTGCAAGTTTTCTTGTTTCCTTTCCTTGCAGGCTTTCTGCTGCCTCAGCCAAGACCTCTGTTCTCGTGGCCATCTCAGAGTACAAGATAAGAGAAAAAGACATATTTTTTCTTCATCTAAACAACAAACACAAGAAAAAAACCTATGTCTGCTTGCCACAGGGCTATTCAGTGTTGTAACTGTCAAGCTTAAATTTAATCTTATTTTCAATTGTAACTTGATATTCTGTCTAGTTCTCATATTTAGAAGCCAACTAGCAACTATTGAACAAAAAAAAAGCTATAAGCTTTCCAGCTCTGGCATAAATGGCTAACATTTGGGGAGCAAAAGACCTGCTGTAGTTACTAAAATAATTTCCTTTTTATTCTTTTCTCTCTTGGTTTCTCTCTCAACATTGTCTCTTTATTTCCTTCTAGATCTTTCTCTTAATTCCCCTTCTCATCTTTTTAATTTGTGTTCTGGATTAATTTTTCTGAAGCTAAAAAAATAGGGACTTGCAAGTATTTTCCTTTATAAAGGTCACACGATTGTTTG